ATTTCTATCAGTATGAACTGACCACCACACAGAATATGAAGAAAATTAAAAACATTATGAGTCAGCTGTCTTCAGCAGTCCTTTAGGTACCAGCACAATAACACACTCAGCAAAATATCGTCTAATTATCGTTATCGATAAAATCCCAGAAAACATCGAGATATAATTTTTTGTCAATATCGCACACCCCTATATGGATTATGTTTCCAGTAACGTTTCAATGTGATCTTCATAGAACAAACAAACAAACAATAAATAAATAAACAAACAAACAAATAAATACATACATACATTTATGAATGAATGTATGAATGAGGTATTTTTATAGCCCTTTATTGTGTATTGCTGTACACCCAAAACGCTGTACAATCATCATGAGGGGGGTCACTCCTCAACCACCACCAGTGTGCAGCATCCTCCTGGATGATGCGACGGCAGCCACATTACAATGGTGTCAGTGCGCTCACCACACACCAGCTATAGGTGGAGAGGAGAGATAGAGCCAATTCAGTAGAAGGGGCTTATTAATAGGAGGCCATGATTGACCAGGGCCAGTGGAGGGAATTTGGCCAGGACACCTGAGATACACCCCTACTCTTTTACGAGAAGTGCCATGGGATTTTTAGTTTATAATTTAGTTTACAATTTAGTTTTTTAGTTTATGATTTATTTACAATATAAAACAACTCCTAAATAATAAAAGTGCTCAAAGTTGATGAACATTACCATTCAAAAGTTTAGGGATTTTATTATTATTTATTATTTTATTTAAATAATTTATAAATCTTTCTTTTATGCTGCTTTTTTTTTTCTTATAAAAAAACAGTAATACTGTGAAACATTACAGTTTTATTGTTACAACTGTTACACTAATTTCATATATTTTATTTTTATAATTTATTTCTGTTACGGCAAAGCTGTTTTTTTTTTAGCAGCCATTACTCCAGTCTTCAGTGTCACATGATCCTTCAGAAACCATTCTAATATGATGAAACATTTTTTTTTTGTGTGTTAATCATGATAAATTTTTTTTGATGAATAGAAAGTTCAAAAGAACAGCATTTGAAATAGCAATGTTTTGTGACATTGTAAATTACAGTCACATTTTAATTAATCTTTGCTGAATAAAAGTTTTAATTCATTTAAATGCAAAAAATAAAAAATACTGACCCCCAAACTTTTGAACATTAGTGTTCAACTGAACTGGCCTTACTACTTATTCTCCTAGATATTGGTCTAGCTGCAGTGATGAGGCGAGGAGATCCTCTCCCTCGAGCCTTTCAGGCTCCAGTGGATGTACATGCCAGTGCGGATGGCCAAGTGTACATGTTCGGACACAGACAAGAAGAACCAGAAGTGTCATCTGAGGATGAGGAACTCAATGTCATGGAGCTCCGGCCGCGGAGCAGAGAGTCGTCCTCACAGGAGAGAGAAAGAGTGGGAGAAATGCTCTTGTTGGAACGGGACATCTCACATGAGGACAATCTCAACAAACTGGCGCTTCAATATGGATGCAAGATATCTTGTTTGATTGCGTAGATCATTCTCATTTAGGCCCTTAAAGGAATAGTTCACCCAAAAATTTAAATTTGATGCAAATGTATTCACCCTCAGGCCATCCAAGATATAGATGAGTTTGTTTCTTCATCAGAACAGATTTGGAGAAATTTAACATAACATCATTTGCTTACCAATGTATCCTTTGCAGAGAATGGGTGCCATTAGAAAGAGAGTCCAAACAGCTGATGAAAACATCAGTAATCCACAAGTAGTTGACACGACTCCAGTCCATTAATTAATGGCTTGTGAAGTGAAAAGCCATCATTAAGGTGTTTTTAACTTCAAACCATTTCTTCCGGCTAACATACAAGTCCTCTCTCCATAATATTGCTTTCTCCAGTGAAAAAAATCATCTTGTCTGAATCAGGAGAGAAATATGCAAACAAAATAAATCAAGCACTGTTTACAAGCAAAAACAGTTCATAACAGTTATAAACAAATATATTGGTGGATTTTGACTTGAAAGCACTACAGGGGATGGACTTTTTGGATTATAGACTCATATTTTGGCTAGAAATATATATGGTGCTGTTGGGCCAGTTGTGGACTAATGGTTAGAGAGTCGGACTTGTAACCTGAAGGTCACGGATTTGATTCTCAGTCCCAGCAGGAACCTAAAATAAAACAAACGTTAACCTTCGATACATACGACTGAAGTGCCCTTGAGCAAAGCAAACCCCAATTGCTCCCCGGGTGCGTTGTGTGTTCACTTCTCACTGCTGTGTGTGTGCACTTGGATGGGTTAAATGCAGAGCACAAATTCTGAGTATGGGACACCATACCTGACTACTCGTCATGTCTTTGAATCACTTTGAACTTGTGGATTATTGTTATGTTTTTATTAGCAGTTTGGACTCTTATTCTGATGGCACCCATTCACTGCAGAGTGATGTAATGCAAAATGTATCCAAATATGTCCCGATGAAGAAACAAACTCATCTACATCTTGGATGGCCTGAGGATGAGTACACTTGTTGCAAATTTTCATTTTTGGGGTGAACTTTTCCTTTAAAAATAATCATTTTCTATGGCTTCCAGGTGGCTGACATAAAAAGGGTGAACAACCTTTTTCAAGAGCAGGACATGTATGCACTGAAGTCAATCAAAATCCCTGTTAAGAAGCATGGCTTGCTAACCGAGGCCAACTCTGAGCTCAGGAACCCCCAGCAAAGACCCTGCAATGATGTAGCATCATCAAACAGTGCTGAAGCAAACGTCTCGGGAAGACCTCAGGTGCAGGAGTACACCAATTACCTAAAAGAGGTGGACAGTGACATTGAGCGTCTGATCCAAAGCACAGACCCCTCAGAAGAGGTATTTTCCAGCGGTTCCAGGGTATCCAAACGATGGGGGTGGAGAAGCCAGCGTTTGCGCAGCTATGGTGCAGACTGGGGAATCCAGTGGTGGAACACTGTAATTGCAATGTTACTCATTGGCATTGTCCTGCCAGTATTCTATGTGGTATATTTTAAAACTCAAGATAATGGAAGATCAGTAGTGGACAATATAGTGGGCAACATCACGGGCAACTTTAATACTTCAAAGAGTACGGGGTGAGGGTCAGCATGGGAATATCAAAAAGTAAGTATAACATTTGAAAATTTGAAATTTGGTTTCATGCCTACAATTTTCTTTGGTAATTTGCAGATAAACTTTGTATTACAAGTTCATATTATTATGGTACATTCATTGAAGTGAAATAGATCACCCAAAATAAAAAAGGTAACATTTGGGTTCAAAAGACTTGGAGTATGATACACCCAATAAAAAAAAACGTCTCAGGTTACCCACGTAACCATGGTTCCCTGAGAAGGGGAAAGAGACACTTCGTCCCCTAGAGGACACTTTGGGGAACGCCCTGCATGGGTAACCTGAGACGTTCCCTATCGAATGGGAACTCGCACTGCGTCCCCTAGAGGACACTTTGGGGAACGAATACCCACGCTGCCATGCTGAAGGAATGAGTGCCTTATCGGCAGGCATAAGCCAGGAACTCTAAGAAGTCCTTATCCCCAGAAACACACCAGCAACTGCCAACACACTGTAAGGGTCAGAGTTGACGCGGGCCAGTCACAGTCACCCATCAACGTACAGTTTTACGTTTCACAACCCTAAGTGCAAAAAAAGGCCTTATTGCACAACAGTGCTAGGAATTGGGAATGCGAGAGGCGATACTACCCCTCTTCCCAGACGTTAGTATCTTGAGGGTCACAGCAGGAGTGGGACGCAAGTCGCGGAATAGCCCACCATCTCCACATACCTCTCATTTGTGAGCGCAAAACAGAGGGAACCCCCACCCCCCAAACCCCCCCTTGCGCTAACGTAAGGTAAATATAAGAAGTGGGAACGCGAGAAGCGGTGCTGCCCATCTACTTTAAACCGTCTTGATATTGTGAGGATCAGAACGCGAGAAGCAGTGCTGCCCATCCACTCTAAACGCGTGGGACGCGAGCTGCAGAATAGCCCACCATCTCCGCGCACTTCTCACATCTATGCACACAAACGGAGGGAAACCCCTTGTGCTAACCACTGCAGGTCATACGGAGTGGGAACGCGAGAAGCAATATAGCCCATCTACTTCAACCGTTATAATATTGTAAGGATCATAGCCGAGGAAGTGGGACGCAAGCCGCGGAATAGCCCACCATCTCCGCGTACTTCTCACATCTGTGCACAAAAACGGAGGGAAAACCCTCCCTGCGCTATCACATGGTAATTTACAAGAAGTGGGAACGCGAGAAGCGGTACTGCCCATCTACTTTAAACCGTCTTGATATTGTGAGGATCATAGCCGAAGAGGTGGGACGTGAGCCACGGAATAGCCCACCATCTCCGCATACTTCTCACATCTATCCACACAAATGGAGGGAAACCCCCTTGTGGTAAGCACTGCAGGTCATAAGAAGTGGGAACGCGAGAAGCGATATAGCCAATCTACTTCAACCGTTATAATATTGTGAGGATCATAGCCAAGGAAGTGGGACGCGAGCCGCAGAATAGCCCACCATCTCCGCGTATTTCTCACATTTGTGCACACAAACAGAGGGAAAAATCCCTCCCTGCGCTATAACACAGTAAATTATAAGAAGTGAGAACGCAAGAAGCGATACTGCCCATCTACTTCAAACCATATAATACTGTGAGGATTACAGCCGAGGAAGTGGGACGCGAACCGCGGAATAGCCCACCCTTCTCGCATATATCTCACAGTGTTAAGCGCAATACAGAAGGGGAAGCGCCCTGCCTTATTGCGCAACAGATTAAGAAGTGGGAATGCAAGCTGCAATACTGTCCATCTTCTCAACACATCTCACAGTCTTGTGCAGTACGGAGGCAACCTGCCTCATCACGTTTACTTGAAAATAAGAAGTGGGAAGCAAGAAAAGATTCTGCCCAACTTTCTAAACCCATAACACAATTCGTATAACAGAGAAAATAGCTGAAGGAGTGGGACACGATTCGCGGAATAGCCCACGTTCCTCAACACATCTCACAACCTAACACCGATACAACGGGAAAACCGCCGTTGTACTGGGAAAACTACGAATTGAAATTAGGGACTGATCCCCACTACATGACAAAATTGTAGTAGAAGAAAGAATATGTTTCAAGTTGCAAATGACAACATAAAGTTGCAAAAATTAAATCAACATTCAACTGTGGCAGTAAGGGGCTTTATTTAAAGGGGTCATAAGATGTTGCTAAAAAGAACATTATTTTGTGTATTTTGGTGTAATGAAATGTGTTTATGCGGTTTAAGGTTTAAAAAAACACATTATTTTCCACATACTGTACATTATTGTTTCTCTTCTATGCCCCGCCTTTCTGAAACGCGTCGATTTTTACAAAGCTCATCGGTCTGAAAAGCAAGGTGTGCTGTGATTGGCCAGCTATCCAGTGCGTTATGATTGGCCGAATACCTCAAGCGTGTGACGGAAATGTTATGCCCCTTACCATATTGGCCAGATATGGTATTACTGTCAGGCCGGAGCGATGGTTCAAAAACATGAAAACCCATTATTGCAAGCTGCAATACTGCCCATCTTCTCAACACATGTCACAGTCATGTGCAGTACGGAGGCAACCTGCCTCATCCCGTTTACTTGAAATAAGAAGTGGGAAGCAATAAAGATTCCGCCCAACTTTCTAAACCCATAACAATTCGTATAACAGAGAAAGCTGAAGGAGTGGGACGCGATTCGCGGAATAGCCCACGTTCCTCAACACATCTCACAACCTAACACCGATACAATGGGAAAGCCGCTGTTGTACTGGGAAAACTACGAATTGAAATTAGTGACTGATCCCCACTACATAACAAAATTGTAGTAGAATAAAAAATACTTTTCAAGTTGCAAATGACAACATAACTGAAAACAACGTTCAACTGCGGCAGTAATGGCTTTTGTTATTAACAAAATCTAACAGTAAATCAAATTAAAGCCTTGGACTCAGGGCTACGGCTTGCCTTTCTTGGCTTCGATAATTTCCCTGAGATCCTGTCTCTGCCTTGGGCGAGGTCGCTACCCAGCGCCCCGACTCCTCGGAGGCGGGGCTCTCGCAGCTACGCTCGCCTTCTGACTCTGCCGCCAGCTGGGCCCGGCGGCAGGCTCAGCTTCAGGTGGTTCACCGAAAGGACGCCGCCTACGGCGAGGGATGTAGTGCTCAAACGCCACTGACTTAACCTTCGCCTCCCTGAACTTACGGACTACTGTCTCAACAGCAGCTCCGAAAAGCCCGGCAGGCGAAACCGGGCCATCAGGTAGAAAAGACCTGTCCTTCTCCTTTAGCCCCGACAGGTTAAGCCATAAATGCCTCTCCGTGACAATGAGTGCCGCAAGAGAGCGGCCGATGGCGCGAGCCGCTTGCTTGGTTGCACGGAGAGCAAGATCACATGAGCGGCGGAGCTCCTCGATTTCAGCCGGAG